CAAATGACAGCTCTATATGTTTCCATCAGAGCCGTTATGGGGGGGGGGGGGCTAACCACTGCGGCTGTGACGGGCCTCGGGTATACAAGGGGTCCAAAATTGTGCTTTGAAAAAAAAAAGCTTTGAACGTATTTGGCACAAAACCTTAAAGTGCCAGGGTACCGATACAAATCCAGCGACAGCTCTGGCTTCCGTGAACCAGAGATACAAGCATTTGAATTGTGATACCCAAAACAAAATGTATAAATATAATCAGTGGCGTGCGTAGCTAGGGTTAGTCGAAGATTTTTTTTGCCGTCCCCTTCCATGAAAAATCTATGCGGTTGTCAAAAATATTGCCCCCTCCCCTCCATATATCGAAAAAGATGCCACCCGGGACTGGCCGCCCTTCCGCAACCCCTTTGCTACGCCACGAGATATCTTATAAAATTTACTATATTCGCATCGCCCATTGAGTTAATAAACTTCTTTTTTTAAATTTTTGCCCATAAATATATTTTTTTCGCGGATTTGGAAAAGGGTGGGGGGGGGGTGCTTCGGCAAAGAGCTTGGCCTGTCTCGAGGGAGGCACCAACCCTAGCTGCGCCACTGCCTATAACTGTAACATTTTATATGTAGAGATGTCTAACAAGGCATAGAACAAGAGAGATACCGGTACCCCTTAAAGTTTGGCACTGATCTGGTTAGTGTGGTGCGCATCGTAGAAATTGATGAGATTTCAAAGAAGTTTGTCCAGCACCGTGCTGAACGTATATTATGAAAAATTTACAAGAAATAAAATGACTGATGATTTCAATGTTTTCATCTTCTACCTACTTCTACGTGAATGGATTTTAAAGCCACTCATTTTTGTCTCAGTAAATTTTATATTTTTAATGAATTTAACTTTTCATAATTGTATTTTTTTAATTTTGTTTGGCCTTCCTGCGTTTTCTGATTTGAATTCTTTGTTTTTCGTTAAGTTTTTTTTTTTTTTTTTTATTTTCATGAACAAAACAAAACCAACAAATAATAAAAGAATCTCAGCTCAAACGGTTACAGCTACATGGGGAGATAAGTGACCAGCACAAACCCCGTCTCTCTTTTCCATTAATCCCCCACCCCCGGGTTCTTATGATGAACGTTAAGCATGGGGTGAGAATGGGTAAGTGAAATTGATTTTAAAAAAAATGTTGTTAAAGTTAAATAACAAGCCTGTTATTTTATGTGCTTTTGTAGATTATTTAAAGCAGGCTCTAAAATTATTTAAATAAGATCTGAACCCCTCAACCTCACTGTTGTTAAGTTCCTACATCAACTGCATTACAACACCTGATACATCCTATTCCCGGTCGAACAATGGGGCATAAGATCAGTGATCAGTCCAAGACCCTAGCGTCAATTCACCTTTTTGTCAAAGAAATACAAATATAATTGAGGGGAAAAAAACAGCACGACAAAGATATCTGCCGCTCATTTGGAGAATTCGATGGGAGGAAAAAGTGCCTAACGCAGAGGTTTTGGAACGTGCCAAAATGTGTAGCCTGTTCTCTGCTCTTTGCAAGAGGCGCCTTCGCTCGTTTAGGTCATGTAAGGAGAATGGAGGAAGACCGTATTCCAAAGGATCTGATGTAAGGAGACTTGGCAGAAAGACGGTTTGAGGCATGTTGCTAGATATGGCTCTGTCATATTTGATGCATGGTTCTAGCTATGGCTTGGTCATGTTTGAGGCATGATGCTAGATATGGCTTTGCCATATTGCTAGCTATGGCTTGGTCATGTTGAGGCATGTTGTTAGCTATGGCTTGGTCATGTTGCTAGCTATGGCTTGGTCATGTTGCAAGCTATGGCTTGGTCATATTTGCAGAAACCCAACCCGCTTAAAATTCAATGATAGTATAAAGATTGAGGGGGGGGGGGGACTTGTCATACCAACTCGTTGCATCAAGTTCAAACTCCAACAACAGTGGCGACGCTACACCAGGTCCCGCCGGGTCCCAGGACCTGGTAAAAAAAACTTGGGACCTGGCAAATGACCTGGTAAATGTTTATTAGTTACTAATATTGTACATATGCTCATTAAGCGTAAACTACATTACATGTAAGAGAACTTCCATTTTAAATGCCTTTTTATGTTTAAATTTTTATCGACAACAAAAGTCAATAATGGGTTTAGTTAGTAGATTAATAAATATTACTTAATAAATAAATTTTATTTTAATACATTTATTTGGGACCCGCTAAATTTTTTTTAAGACCTGCAAGGGACCCGCCCATATTAAATTTGATGGCGTCGCCACTGCCCAACAATGCCAAAAAAAGAGAAGACTTTTCATTAGGGTGGCTCATCTAATAGAAGGAAAGAGGCAACTGCCTCGTGCCCACATCGTTGATGCTACGAAAGTACTCCTGCGGCGCTCTTATTGTTAATGGGAGCTACACAGTTGATTCTAGTTTAAAACAAAATTTTCAGTGGAATCAAACCATGGACTCTTGATGAGGCGCGCATGATGATGGGAAGAACCAATGAATGAAGCAGCTCAAGTTACGAAACTTTCAGATGGGTTCGAGTGGGTCTTCCATGGCTCGGAGCGTTATTGGGCTTTGCTCACTGTGGGCGTGTACTCATGGTCCTAGGTTGGGAAGCCAGTGGGGGAGGCATTCAAAATGACATCGCACTATTTTGGCCGAGGGTTTACGCCCACTTTCACCACCGTTACAAAACTTGCCACAATACTTTGAGACACCTGCAATACTCATCATCACAAATTCGAGCTCCCTCCCAACAGGGGCGTCATTTCAGGGTTTTTTCAAGAGGGGGCGGGGGAAAAATTAAAACGTGGTCGTTTTTTTAAAAAGTTGTTTATTACTGGAGGCGCCACAGTACATATCAATTTAAATAAAACATGCAAATGTGGGCGGGGGGGGGGGCTGTGCTAATGACATACCCTAATGACGTCCCTGCCACTCAGCTCTAGATGCGTGACGTCATTTATGGAAACCCCCCCCCCCCCAAAAAAAAAAAAAAAAAAAAAATCAAGCCTATTCAAGTGTAGTGCCTCATTACACTTGTTTGCGTTAAGTATAGATTATTGTCTCTTCAAATTGATGTAGCTATTGTAACAATATGGTTATAGGGTAGGCTATTTATTTATTTTTTAAACGTTTTATCTCGGAGAAAGAAAAAACCCATTTCTTTGGTAATTTCAGGGAAATAAAATTGGCTGATCACTGCAACCCCCTCCTTCTCCCCCCACCCCAATAAAATAAAAAAAATAAATAAAATAAAACACGCACAGCGGCGAGACCACCCCACCCCTCAAACACACAATACTCAACAGTTGCCATTTACAATATTTCATTGGATTCGATATAAAGAAGTCTGAGAAATGGTACATCTTTTAAAGTTGAATAATTTACGCCAATTGTAACTGTTTACTGTTGATTCAGAAAAAGCTGGTTTCATTGATCTTTGTTCTGTGCCTTAGAATTGAAGGCCAAAGTTGATAGGTGTCAAGGCCATACATTCCAGGCCGCCCGAAGAAAGCCGAGAGGCGAGGACGAAGGAAGAGGAGCCCTAGTTGGCACCTGCCGTAACAATAAAAAAAAATGCCGTGTGATTTTTTATTATATAGACTACTCTAGACGGTTTTATAGCTTTAATAAGGCTTTTTAATTAAAAAAATAAGATGTTGATGAACAAAACATTGTTAAAAGAATTATTAAAATAAGCGGTGGGAATCTTCAAATAGATTTAGATGCATTTCAGCAAATTTCGGCGTAAACTAAAACAACATAAAGAACCTAATAGTAATAGTCTACCTTTTTAGCTTAGTCATATTTTTCTTACTTAATATGCTATCTCACTTTATTTTTAGTTTTACGCCCGTTAAGTTCAAGGTAGTGACGTAATGAACCACTTAAATGTTTAGAGTATTCTACAAACAATAACAAATTTATTTTTAAGATAAAAAAACCCAATAACAACAACAAACGAGTCACTTAAAAATATGTGTGTTTTAAAATGCACTATTTTATTTCAATAGACATAAGTAATTCCAATTAGTCATCAACCTTGATTTTCCACCACAGCCACAACGCCATGCAACAGTAGAAGATTTTTTTTAAGATCGTCATTTTACTGACATATCTCAAAGTACATGTATTTAAGTAAATGAATTAAAAAAAAAACAACTATGAACGAAAATAATACACCTATCCATGACAGCCATAAGCATTGTGTTACCAATAATAATTTCTATTGCAATTGACTGATTACTGCTTAATTTTTTATTTTATAAAACTAATACTTAATAATAATACACATTAAAAAAAAAAAATTGTTTTCTTTGTATTAGTACCGTACATGTATTATCAATACCGGTGGGTAGTATGGGCATGGGCGTTAGTGAGTGATTTGAATGAGTTATGTTCCATAAAAAGCTGAGGCACAAAGACTTGTATTTAAATATCATATTATAATGGGAAAGTGGATTTTTTTTTAAAATGCACACATTACATTATATAAATATATATATTAGATAATAGCTTATGAAGTATTATAGTTGGGATCCCCATACTTCCGGTACTTCAAGCGGGAATCCCTTCCGTCCTAAGGCCTAGAGGGGTATCCCCAACCGGAAACGACCGATGTAGGCCGATCGCGATCTCCCACAAATTTGTGTTTTTTGGACACTTTACATTGATTTAATAATTTTCATAATATTTGTTTATATTTAATCGTTTTTTAAGACAGTAAATGCTAAGGAAATTTCACCTGTATGTGCGACATCTCGATTAAAACTCGTGGTGACAATCAACGTGACGTCATACGGAGTGAGCATCAACAAAAGTTGAGAGCCTATTCGACAAGGACACCCTGGTCTCTTTACAGAGCTGATACTTTAAATTAACTGCTGCAGCAGTTTTATATGGCAATGGAGCATAATTACCAATGAATGTTTGACGTTTCTGCGTGTCCAGTAGGGGCTTTCGCCCCTTAGAGAGTCGATAAACCTGTAATGTCTTGTGGCAGTGGAGGACCGCCATCTTGGACAGCAGCAGGTTCTCATAGCAGTAATCATTCACAAGTGCGCCACTCGAGCAGGGAAGGTAAAAGTTTTGTCATATTTTTCTTGGTCTATAAGTCAACGGCAAAAAAACGAGCCATCTCTGGTCTTAAGAGTACCCTGGCGATATAGCCCTTTGAAGATCAAAGTATTTATACAGGACATTCACACCTGCTCTTCTGTGTACACTTACTTTTACTCTGCTCTGGCCTCTATCCTACACATTTGCCACATCTTGACATTGGTTGGGGAATTGATCATTCATCAAAATGTTACAGTAATTGCAAGAGGAAGGTTGTTGTTTATTGTGTGTCCTAAAATTACTTTATCCTCAATATATTACTGCTGACATTAAAATGGATTAATTTAAAGTGGGTGGTTGTTAAAAAGTCATTCATTCAAATCAAAATCATTCATTCTGCTGATTGTACATGTAACATTGGTATTGGTCTTGGATGAAAGCAGATTTCCCTTTCCTTCTATCTAATGATCTTGATACCTTATTGATTTAAATAAGCCTATACAATAGGTTACCACTTTGATATTAAATTAAGATCAGATCAGTCTAAAGTCAAAAGTTATCATTTCATTCATTTTGATTTTAGTCATTCATCATCATTCATATTCATTCAAAGAGCAATTAAATGCTTGATTCATATTTATAATTTTTTTGAAAGACGAGTGAAATAAAACATTATTTTGTTTGTTTATCATATCCATGTCAAAAAATAATTATTAAAGAAAGTGCTCCTTAAATTACCTCACTAACTCCTAAATGGACCATGACCATATCATATCTCAGATAAAACTTAAATCTTTTTATTTTAAATAATTAAATTTGTTTGGTCGAAGTCTAAGTAGTTCAATAGACATACGGGTATACATATTGTTGATAAAAATATTTAGGTATGATCTCAGTCTCAGTAAATATTACAATCTTATTTTAATTATTACTTAAATAAAAATTATGCTCACTTGTTATATCTTATATGATTCAGGTGTTATGGAAAACATCCATGTTGATCCTCGAAAACAAGAACTACTAGAAGCACGATTCTTGGGAGGCCGAGTATGTTATTAAGCTTAAAAAAAAATGTTAAGACAACTGAAAAAATCCACTGTCATAAGTTAACTTCGAGTAAATTTAGAGTTCAACTAGGGGAATAGTTTCGGTCACTGCCTCAGTTAATCTGTTTAAATAACTGTGGTTCCTGCAACTGATAATGAAATAAAGATTTGAAATAATTAACTGTAAATTTTATTGCTGACAGTACCCGGCTAATTTTTGTTTATTTCCATGGGGATATAGTAGCAATCTGCATTGAAATGTCTTCATCGCTTCAGGCTCAAAACGAGAATCTTAAAATTTCAAATAAAATTATTTCATTCTTAATTATCATTAAATAAAATAAAAATAAAATGGGAAACATATTGGGTATCCAAAATATGAACAATAAAATAGTAAAAGGGAGAGATTTTTCATTTGTACTAAATAATCTTGAAGTGTCATGCCCCTTTTTGTAGTTGGTTTCTCTGGCCTTTTGTCCTGCATTTATTTTAATGTGTAAAACAAATGTATTCATCCAATTTATTTGTAACATAAAGTCTTTTGATATTGGTTTTAGAAATTTCTTTATCTTTTATTTTTACATTGGGAAGTTATGTGTACATTGAACTCTCACCAGTCTAAACGGTGGAAAACCGTAATGAGAGCTACATTTAATTATCATAGCCATAGATTCTGTAAAAAGATTTTTTTATAAAAACATGTTGCATTTTCAAGCTGAATCAAAAGTCATCATAATGAATATGTATCCCTTATTCCTTTTTTAAAGTTTATTTCTATATACATACCTTTCCATCTCATTCATTCCTACAATTTATTATTTCGTTACAAAAATTAATTTAATTGTAATGTCTTAACTATTTATATGATATTTTGAAAAAAATGTTATTAAATTTAAAAAGCATTAGAAAAATGAGAGGATTTTAAAAATTATGCTAATGCAGAATTGCTTGTTCTTGTCAGATTTCTCCCTTATTTAAATTTCATATTTTGCTAGCCATAGTTTGAGTGCTACATATTATTTAATTTAGACCGTTTCATTTTGGATTTGAAGAAGATTTCTTTTTAGTAGTCTTGATAGGTTTGCTGTTTATTTTTAAAATGTTCTTTTTCAGTTTCAGCCCTTGGTTATGCCACAGCCCCCACAAGAACAGCAGCAAGACAGCAGTAATTTAAGTAGTGGTGGTTCAATAGATAAAGAAGATGGAGAGGTAAGACTAAGGGTGATTGATTCTCACTTTTTAAAACAAAAATCTTTAATTTTATAAATGAGTACATACATGACAATAAGTATTGTTGCCATGTTGCTACTATTGCAATACTATGTTATAAAACATGCCAGGTTTTTCATAAATAATTTGAGTATCTCAGTTTTAGTGACGATGTAATTTTTTACCTATTAGGGTTTGATGCAAACACCAGATAAAGGAAAGGGGAATGAACGGAAAAGAAAACGTAAATCTGGTGTAGAGAATCCAGGAGGTGAGTTTCTATTATGTACATATTTAAGTGCAAAAAATATAAAATTGTGTATTATTATTTTTACAATGATGTCATGTTGTTTTGACTGCTTTAATTTTTTTATAGACTTTATCTCTTTTCCAGCTACCAAGAGAGCAGAAACTAATGGAAAGAAAATAAATGAGTATTTCAAGGTAAGGAATATGTTGTCTCTATCATATGACACTCAGATATTAGCCTCACCACAATCATCAAAATAGCATTTTTATTCAAAATAGTTACTGTGAGAATTACAGAAATTTAAAAATTACCCATTTTATTAACATTAATTTAAAAACCTTTAATGGTAGTAATAAAATTAACTTGGATAGATTTAATTTAATTGTGAAATACATTTTACATTGTGATTATTGATATTTCATCTAAACATTTTCTCCGGCTGACACTTGTAATACTCTTTTTAAAAAGTTATTTATATATATTTTTTAAACATTTCAGCAAAATCAGTCACCTAGTCGCACTGGACAGCCACAGAACGCAGGAGGTGCTAAGTCACCATCACCACAAGCATTTGGAGTAAGTATTATTATTTTGCTTGCCATGACTGATTTAAGATGGTAAATCACAAAAAATTGCTGACCTTTTGGCATCAGCTTTATTTTGTTTGATGAACATTGTAAATATGGCGAAACTTACCACAATTCGTGAGTTCTTTTGAGAATTCTATGTTAGTAACTTACATCCCTGTGGAGCTACGGCCTGCATTACCACTTCCTTTCACTTAGACTAAACTGATACTTTTCTTTTCTATGCTTGGATTTCCCAGCTGCTGTAGATCTATTTTCACATAATTCATCTGTCTAATCATAGGTCCGACTTTGATCCGTTTTTCTCTGGGGTTTTGCTGGTGCACCCTCTTCACTCCTCTGTCATTTGGCATTCTTTCTAAGTGTCCCGCCCAGCATAGCCTGCCCTTTTTTTATTTCTGCTACTGCTGTGAGATCCTGATATAGTCTGTACAATTACTGATTGGTTTGTATTCTCCATCCAAATTAATCCTTTGTTAGTTCTTATATTTTATGGAGAACTTTCGCTCCCATGTAGTTTTTCTGCCATTTTTGTTACAGTCCAAGTTTCACTTGCATATGTTACAACTGGTCTGTATATAGTTTTCTTTGCTCTTCTTGTAATGTTTTTACTTTTGAGTTTTTTGTGACTACTGAAGTATGCCCTCTATTCAGGCTGATATTCTTTCTTTTTTTTCTGTCAGTAATTCATTTTTTTCCATTAAGGATCTTAGGTATTTGAATGCATTTAAATTTTCATCTGTCTCTTCCTCTACTCTTAACTTAGTCATGTAGTCTCTTTACTTAGTCATGTATTTTGTTTTTTTGGTTGTTAACTTCCAGCCTTGCTTGTAGTGTTGCGTCTTCTAATTCAGTAAAAGCTTTTGAAATGTTTTTACTACTTTTCCGTAACAGTGCTTTATCATCAGCATATGTTAGATACTGAAGGGGTTGGTTATAGAGAATGCGTATTGGTTGTGGGTCTTGGGTTGCCACCAGAAAATAACTTGTTATTGTTCAATATATATGCTTCTTATAACTCGCTGTAATGTTAGGTTAAATAGCATACAAGACAGTGAGTCTCCTTGTCTTAGGCCTCATCTAATATGAAATTCCCTTTAATATTCTCCCTAAACCTTTACTTTACTTTTTTTGAGTTGTTTAATGTTATATGTATCAGTCTTGTCAGTTTGTTGGGTATGCCAAACTCCTGCAGAGTCCCATATAGATATTTTATTTTAATGTTTTCATTAGGCCATTTTATAGTCCACATAGAGTTGTTGTATTGGGTGGGATAATATATTCGTAACATTTGTCTAATAGGAATCTGATGGTGAAAATCTGATAAGTCATTGATCTGTTTTATCTGAATCCACATTGGTAGTCACCCAGTATTTGTTCAGTGTTGTATTCATTTGCCAATTCTTTTTGCAAGTATTTAGTATGTGACATTTAATGAGGAACTTCCTCCGTAGTTTGTTCATTGAAGTTTAGACACTTTCTTGTGTATTGGAGTTAATTTGGTTTTTCCCATTCTGTTGGATTTTTCTCTTCTTGCCAAATTTTACAAAGTTATAAGTTTGTGTCTGAGTGTGTAGTTCTCTTCCTCCATATTTAATAAGTTATGCTGTGATGTCATCTCCATGGGTTTTGTGGTTTTTCATAGATTGATTACTTCAGTAGATTCTTTCTAAGTTGGGGAGTTGGTTGATAATCTTCATCTTGTCCATTGTCTGCATTTAGTATTCCCTCAAAATATTCAGCCCACCTCTCCAGTACTTTACAATTTTCCGTAATTAATTCTGCATCACTGCTCTGACACATTTAAGATGTGGCTTGGTATCCATTCCTTTCGTCTTTTATCTTCTTGCACATTCCTCAATTTCCCCTCTCTTGATAAGTCTTTTCTTTTAGTTAAGCTTTTTCATATTCCCTTATCTTCTTCCTACCCATTTTTTGTGGCTTTTCCTCTGGGTTCATTGTATGTTTTTCACGTATTTCTGGTTTCCCTTTGTATTATGGTTATTCATGCCTTGTTCCTTTCTTCAACAGTCACTCTGCATTCATTATCAAACCAGCCTTCTCTACTGTAGTGTTATGGTTTCTATGTTTTTATTTACAACAATTAAACATTACATAAATATACACAGAATACACGTTCTAGATAATGTTGAATTTCTTCTTGCGTCCGGAACACACTGTTCAATAACACACAATCTGACTACAGTGTCTCTGCGCATGCGCGCTGTTTGACCTAGTTGGCTATCAGGACGGTCCAATCCGCTAGTCCACTATAAAAGTTATTTGCTGAATCCTTCTACTTATTCTGCTGATCTCTTCATAGCATTTTTATCCTACACCACTGTTCATTGATGTTGTTTATTTCCTCTTGTGATGCTTCTAGTTGTGCTACTACTTCATTTTGGTAAGCTTTTGCCGTTAATGAATCTTTGGTAAGTTTTTGGTAACCATATCTTTTTTTTAATTTGATTTTGCCCATTGTGTATTATGTTTTTTCCCTCTACTTTTACTTAACCCTTACAAGTAGAAGGTCAGAGTCTGCATCTGCTCCTCGATAGCTTCTTTCATCTATAGCTTCTTTCATCTATAGCTTCTTACGTCTAGTGATTCTGATCCATGCCTCCTATTTATTAGAACAGGGACTAAATGGTTGTGAGTGATTCCATCTGGTGAGTTCCAAGTAACTCTATGTACATTTGTGTGTGAAAACTTGGTGGTGCTGTCATCTCTTTTCCTGAGTCAATGTATAGGAGTAGGAGCCCATTGTCATTGGATTCTTCATGTAGACTCTCCTTGCTAATAGTTGGCATAAACACTTTCTCTTTTCCTATTAATATTGCATTTAAGTCACCAATCAATATTTCAATATCATGTCGTGGTACTTCATCATAAATCTTTTCCAAGGTCTCATAAAATTTTTCTTTTATGTGACCTTCTGTATCTTCGGTGGGAGCAAGAACATTTATAAATGTTTTAGTAAACATTTTCCCTTGCACACGCAAAGAGCAACATTTTTCTGGTTTAAAACCTACGACAGTACCGTCAGCTTCTTTCTTAACAGCAAATCCTGTTACAAGTGTGTTAGTATTGTTGCCAATATAAAATATGGTGTAGTCTTTTGTCTTTAGGATGACTGAATTTTTCCATCTAATTTCTTGCAATGCATTAATAGAGGTTTTATATTTAATAAGTCGATAGGTCGGCTGAGGCTCATGCTCTAAACTGGCAGAGTACATTCCAATCCAAAATTCATGTCTATATTCAGACAGAGGTCAATTTCCATTAGAATCAGTCCAGGTTTTATTTTGTTGTTTGGCTTTTGTAACTTTAATTTTTTTGCTTGGCTGGGTCATTAGCTCTGAGCACAACCATTTGGTGGGCTGTGCCTTACAGCCCCTTAAATGTAGCTGCCCCCAAACGTAGCTGCCTTAATTTTCGGGTAAGGTTCCCTAGCCTTTGTGGATCCCTCCACTTCCTACAAGGCAGTAGGTTTTGATTTTTATCTACCCTGGGTATTTTATTTCACCAGTTCCCACCATATCTGGTGGGCTTCCCCCTTTCCGCCACTTGGGGAGGTGCTCGATGGAAGATCAGTATCTATGCACGAGCCACACTTGAACCACCAATTGACACTACCCTCATTTTCTCTTGGTTTCAAACGTACTTACACATGAACAGAACTGAAACAAGTCTCAGTAATATCTTAAAAACTTTTAAAGCCAGAAAGTTTGCCTAAGATTAAACTAGTTCCAAATTAAAAAATCTTGATTTTACATAATTATCATCAAGGGCACTGCAGCCCATGGAGGATCTTTCCACTCTGACAGATGGCCTTTTGTTTCCTCACATAGAGTCTCTGCTGATGTAAATCTAGCTCATCATCATCTATCCAAATTAGTCTTGGTCTATCAGCCTGCCCCTTGTTTTCTATTTGTACTTGACCCTACTTGCTTTTTAAAAAAAATTATTTCTATCTATATTTTATTTTTTTTAAATGTACAAAAAAGACTGATTTATTTGCAGAACATTATTCCACATTCTCCAAGTAACTCTTCAAACTCAGTAGCAGACGTTATGAATACATCACTTAGACCTTCTCTATCACTTGGCATTAATACAAACGCAAGTGTGAAAAGTGTTCAGGTACGTTATTTTTGTATACACGAGAACTTTTAATATATATTTGTTAAAACTTATTTTTAAACTTCATTTTTGTTTCATGATTAGTTTGGACATTGATTTTTTTAAATGTCGTGCTGTTTTCACAGTTAAGTAAACAGAAAGTTATGTTTGTATCTTTTAAAGTGTTCATCACATATATTTTTCCAGACTGAATTTTCAATGGCTCATCTTCAAGCTATGGAAAGCCAATCAATGTCTGACATGGAACAGAAAGATACACGAATAGATGAATTGATTAGAGTAAGTGTTTTCTTTAAATACAAGTTAAATTTTTTCTGCTAATAGATGAAAATGAGCTCAGAATTTTCAGATAAGTGGACAGCATCATGAGTGGCAGTACACAATCATCCTAGAGGATATATTTTTTAAGCTAATCTATGACTGCACTATGACATATTTTGATAAACAAAACAAAAGTGCGATCCCAAAACCAGCATATTTCAATTGCTGAAATACAAAAGTGTTTTAAAATGATTACGATTTTTGTTTAATGTAATTAGTGGTAGAAATTGAAATATTTAATTAAAGAGACATCTTTGAATAACAAAAACCTTGCTTCCTGTCAAAATGATTCATTTCTTGATTTTCAGAGACATAATGATGAACTTTCATTTGTATTTGGGGTACTTTGAGATTTTATTTATTCACTGTTGGATACTTATTTGTTAACTGAGCTGTAATTAACACTTCCATTAATCAGTTTCCATAGGTCTTATTTATTGTTCTTTATTTTTCTTTAATTTTTTTCTACATATTCACCAACATTTCAGTTTCCTTAAACAGATCAGTTGCAAGATGTGGAATTAGTATTGGTGTAACTAATTCATGTTTTTGTTTTGTTTTTCTTTAATGCTTTTTTTTTTAACAATAAAAAAGGGAAATGAGTCAGGGAGTGATAAAAAAATTTGTTTGCAGTAAAATACAGCTTTAGTTATTTAAGAAGAAATATGAAAACTAGAACAATTAAAGGGACCAACTAAGCCAAGATCTTATCTTTACTAGTAGTGTACCCTTGATTTGTCCTTTTGCTGATAATTGGTGCTAGCATTTTATTTCCTTGTACATATTTATTTTTGTTGTGTATATGGTTGGTTTATACAGTTATATCCTATGTATGCAACTGTATAAGGATGTTGAGTAACTAATTGAACTGACCAGAACATGTAATAAATAGTATAAGTTCATGACACCCTGTCATAATGTTTTAATTCTGATATAAAAGTACAGATAAGCTACATATTGGTATTTTTGTTATTAGTGCAGAACCTTAACTCTAAAAAAAATAGTGTCAAGGATAGTCTTTAACAATATATGACTATCGGACTAAATATTGCCAGCAGTACATTTAAATTTCCCTTTTTTTTTAAGAATAGGAAGATGTTCTTTTTTTTAAAAATTACTTATATTCTAATTCTTTTAGTAGAAAAACTTGCAAAAAAAAAAAAAAGTCTATTGATATTAACACAAGTGATTGGAAGTTGTAATATAATACAAATAAAAGAGGCTAATAATAGTAAAACTATTTTGGTAATAATTAAAATTTGTATTTTTTTTTTTAAAAATAACTTAAATTTTATTTTTTTTAGTAAAAAAATTTGAAAAAAAAAAAAAGTCTATTGATATTAACACAAGTGATTGGAAGTTGTAATATAATACAAATAAAAGAGGCTAATAATAGTAAAACTATTTTGGTAATAATTAAAATTTGTGAGCTTTATTCAAATTGTTATGTCACAGCATTGCAAAGATGTTTGTCTTGTCTCTCTGCACCACTTACCAAATAGCCCATAAGGTAAACCTGAGCCAGCAAAAACCAAAAAATTAATGCTAGAAAGCCAACATTTTATGAATTACTTTGAATTTAATAATAAAATAGATAAAAATAATTCTTTTCTTGTGCAGCAAAATGATGAATTAAAGCGTCAGTGTACAGCACAGAATAAGCTTCTGGAAAAACATAAAGAAAATTTGCAAAAGTGCTTAGAGGTCAACAAATCTTTACTGATTGAAAAGGTGTGATATTTTTAAAAATTTCTTAAAAATCCTTTCTTTGTCTTGGGGGGGTGGGGGGTGGATTATATCATATATCTTTTCTTTTAATTTAATATTGCAATCATGTTTATAGGGAAAAGCTAAATTATTTGGGCACTGTTTTCCAACTTTAAAACCATGTTACAAATTGTTAACGTTATCTTTGGAAAGTAGGTGCTCATTTGCATAAGATTTATGTATTGGGGTACTTCTTTCATTAGAGCACCCTTGAGAAGAAAACCACAAGGCAAAAGTGCATGGAAAATAGACTGCGCCTCGGACAATTTGTGACTCAAAGACAAGGAGCACAATTTGTTGAAAACTGGGTTGATGGCTGGGCATTTCAAGACCTGATGAAGTAAGAAACACAGTTAGATGTACATAAGTAAACTTTCATGGTATAAAATTGTGGGTCAGCAATTTGTTTGTTCAAATTTAACATGAAGAATTTTGACATTTATTCTACAGACAACAAGAAAGAATAACGGCAGATAAAGATGACATTGATAAACAGAGGAGATTGCTTATAAAGAGGAAACCACCCACCGCTATAGGAAAAAATGCAAAGCATGACAATTTTCTAAAGCCAGGAGAAAAATAGTAAGCAGATCTGAGTGCTGTTCTTTTGTTTACACAAGTTACCAGCTTTTGTTTTATATAGTTTTTCATGGACTGCGTGTATTTATGCTGTTTAGGGAATTAATTGATTCAAGTTTCCTATGAATTTATTTGCTGGTGATAAAAGATTTCCCTTATAATATCCCAATAATCTTAGATCTTTATATTTTAAAGGCATACATGTTTATTAATTTTTTTGAAATTTGCTAATGCTTTGTTTATGCTACAATATCATTTTACTGTATTTTAATTAGCTTAACCCTGGCAGAGTTTTATGAGCAAGATGAAATTTTGAAACTACGGGCAGCTGCATTAAAAAAAGAAGATTCAGACCTTCAACTTGAAATGGAAAAGTTGGAGCGAGAAAGAAATCTGCATATACGAGAACTAAAACGAATTCATAATGAGGATAATTCAAGGTAATTTGTTTGCTTAACACATTTGTATCATTATTGCATAAAAATCAAATGCATGGACATTAGTTTTATTTTGTGAACAATTTATTCCATTTTTAATTTTCAGATTTAAAGATCATCCTACTCTGAATGATCGTTACCTCCTACTGTGTTTACTAGGAAAAGGTGGATTTAGTGAGGTTCACAAGGTAATCTTTTATGAGACAAATTTAATTTTACATGATTCTGAAGTTTTAACATGACAGCTAAAATTTGTGTCTTCCTAAACATCTGAAAGTGATTAAGTTATTTTGTGTATTTAAAAAACTATTAGCTCAGTGTTGTTTTTTTTTTTTTTTTTTTTTTACTTTGCTTTCATTTTTGTTCATGTTTTTTGCGACTAAATTTCTCTTAAGTAGAGCCTTTGTATACAATGGTTAATGTGGAAAGTGAAAGGGTTAAAGGGAGATTTTTTTTTTTTTTTAAAATATTTTTTGTTTTTTTTTTTTTTTTTTTTTTTTTTTTTTTTACTTTGCTGTCATTTTTGTTCATGTTTTTTGCGACTAAATTTCTCTTAAGTAGAGCCTATGTATACAATGGTTAATGTGGAAAGTGAAAGGGTTAAAGGGAGAGTTGGTCGGGATAGAGCTTAGAGACTTAATGGGACTGGAGAAGGATTTGATGGAAAGAATTTTGTTAGTTTGGCTTTGGGTCATATAGTGTTGCTTATAATGTTTTTGTGGTGTAGTATTTTAATTTCATATATTAATGCACTAACCCTCCTTTAATGCAATAATGATGGTCTATAAAATGAACATTGCATACATTTCAGGGATTTAGAATATTTTTTAAAGTAGGAAGATAAGTGTTTGTGTTTATTTGAAGATAGGGGATTTTTTTTAGTGACCTGTGTTGTGTTTTGGTCATATAGTGTTGCTAATAATGTTTTTTCCCATTGAATTTTTATTTTAAGTCATAAGATTTTAAAAATGCCCTTTGAGTTTTAGAACCCTACGGCATATTCTTAATCATAAATATTGCATTTGTTACTTAACTTTTTCACATGAATGTTGTTGTGGTGTAGTATTTTAATTTCATAATATTAATACACTAACCCTCCTTTAATGCAATAATGATGGTCAATAAAATAAACATTGCATACATTTCAGGGACTTAGAATATTTTTTAAAGTAGGAAGATAGGTGATTTTGTGGTTATTTGAAGATCGGGGATTTTGTTTTTAGTGACCTATGTGGTGTTCAAGTAGGACAAAGTTTAGTGGATTTGTGATTGTCTTGTACAAGATTATTATTATTTTGTAATTTTTTTTTTCACATACTTTAAATAAAAATAATCTGGAGCCACAGGCACAATAGTATAACCAAATTCACATTTTAATGGGGCACATTATAGCAGGGGTCCAATGTGTTGTCATAAAATTCTTAAATAATTCCAGTCTGTAGTTAACCATATAAATTTATTTTGTTTTTTACAGGGCTTTGACTTGAAAGAACAGCGCTATGTAGCCTGCAAAATTCACCAACTTAACCGTGAATGGAAAGAGGATAAAAAAGCAAATTATATTAAGTAAGAATTAGTGTTTGTAAAAAAAAAATGTTTTTCCTAGTTAAAATGTTTTTATGTCTCTTAATCAATATTGAACATAGGCTTGTGACTATTTCTAGAAAAATGCCTTTTAATTTTATTATGAATTTAAAAATTAATTTATTCACTATTTCTTTTTTTTTTTTTTTCCACAGGCATGCTTTACGAGAGTATAACATTCATAAAACATTGGATCACCCTCGTATTGTGAAACTTTTTGATGTGTTCGAAATAGATAACAATTCGTAAGTGATGGTACTTGCTTTTTGGAATTTATATATATTATATTAATTGCTCAGAGATTGTAACCTTTTGGAACATTTTAAAACTTTAATTTGTGCATGTCTTAAAAGCTTGAAATTGTTTTAAAATTTTCTTTTCAGATTTTGTACAGTCTTAGAATATCAGAAAGGAAATGACCTTGACTTTTACTTAAAACAAAACAAGAGCATTCCAGAAAAGGAAGCGCGGTCGATCATTAGTCAGACGGTCAGCGCCCTTCGTTATCTCAATGAGATTAAACCACCTGTGATACACTATGATCTTAAGCCTGGTATGTTGCTTAGTAATTAAGTTATTATTGAAGAAGAAAACATTGTAAAGATCACTCACTAGTCACTTACTGTTCTAGTCTCTCTTGTTTTCATTTTTATTTTACTTTAGCAGTTTAAATAGTTTACATATTTTAAAAAATTGTAAAGCGCTTAGAGCTGTAAGGTAAGCCCTATACAAATATGCCGAAATAAATAAATCACTAGGAAATAGATCTAGTTTTTTAAGATCTCCAATGAAGAGCATTTGAATGAATCTTATTGTTTTTTAGAATTAACAAATTTTAAAATGGCTTAAAATAAATTCTGTCCTGGAAAAACTAGGAAATTTTAAAATTATTTTCTTTGTAGGCAACATTTTGCTAGGCAGTGGATCAGTTAGTGGCGAAATAAAGATTACAGATTTCGGTCTCAGTAAGGTTATGGATGAAAGCAATTTTCATCCAGAAGTTGGTATGGACCTTACATCACAAGGAGCTGGAACTTACTGGTGAGTTACTTTTAAGGAAAACTGAAATGAAGTAGAGCTATACTAAAAATCTCTTGTCAGGTTGATCGCATGACCTACAAGCGTGAGCCAAATTACACAAAAGCCATGTGGTGCCCTTGCTTTTAGAATAGGCTTTCATCTCAAATAATGTAATTTATTTCCTCAAAGAAAATTTTGTTATTGAGGTAAAATCATTTGAACTTGTTTTAAAGACAATTTTTTGTTACATCCTTGGGTGTAGTTTCTTTATTATTTGCACTTTCTCTCATGAGTGGTTTATAAGGCTGATCCTGGTGTGGCAGTCTCTGCTGCACATCTTGCAGGAGAACCTTGTCTGCTCATTTTCTTTAGCCTTATGTTTTTCCCATTTTGCTACAAGGGCTTTGTTACCTGCATATTCTGCCTGTTGGATTCCCATATTCACTGCAGTAGCCACCCTGAGCAGTAATCAGCTATACTCTCCCATTTGCCAATTTAAATTTGACTTCTCTTTCTGTCTTCATAACTCAGCTACGGTCACCTAGTGTATCTAGCCCCCGTTTCTTATCTCCATACTAAAGGTCCTTTGGAATACAGCTTTTTCCCATTCTCTTTACACAGCCTAACCATCAAAAGCAATATGGCTGTTCCAGACCTGTTTACTCTTACGATTTTGGGATGTCGTACGATTGTACACCAAGACCTATTAAGACTACGATTTTAAGAGACTGGGTTGAAAATATATACATTCCGGTAGCTTTTCTGATAAAAAAAAATATAATTAAGAAGTACATTTTGGTTGTTAGTTTGAACTTGCATTTGCATTCTACATTCAGCAATGGATCAAGAAATACGATTGGTAGGGGACCATCTATAATTATATTATGTTTGCCCTGAGAGGGGAATGGGGGGGGGTGATTTAGGAGAATTTGTGTACCGGTAGGGGGAGGGGAGTCTAAATATTTAAGTAAATTAAATTAACACCGCCACATTTTTGAAATGCTAGTGGTAATGCTTGCTAGACAAGGAACAGTAATATTAGCATAGTGGCCCTAGTGACTATTGTAGTCAATGCGGGGCCATCTTTATGCACTGGGATGGAAGGGAAGGTGTAGATTATTTAGCTTTTGCCGGGGGGGGCCTCGGCTGAAAGTACATACGTAATTTTAAAAATTTATAAGGTAAAATTATATGAGTATATAATATTCATCCTGGAACTCAGAAAGTCCAAAACAAAGCATAGACTTTATCTCGAATGCTGTAAAAATATAATGCAAAGTTTTAAAGAATTATCATCATAATGTTGCCATATATTTTCACAAATCAACTCGCTAGATATGCTCAAATGGTACCAAGTAGTAGAGGTATTACAGCAATATCTAGTCCCTGTATGTCCAACGTGCATGTGATGCTCATTTCTTTGGGGCTATGTCAGTGGTTCCAAAATGTTTGTTTCCTAGAACCTGTGCCAAATTCAGGCCCATTCAGGTTAAAATTTATAGACAAAGTAAAATATAACACATATGTAGGTCACTTGGCGCCATATATGAACTGCAAACATTAGTTACTCAAAGTGAGTTACTGTTTGCACCACGACAGCTAGATGTCGCATCGGATTAAAGTGGAAATAATATGATGAAAATTGTGTAATATTTTCAATGCCCCTGTGAGCACGCCGCAGCAACCCTTATAGAGAAGAGGTGGGGGTGTAAAAAAAAAGTCTGCATACGGGGGACTGGACTTTTTTTGCATTTGTGCCATATAGATGGCTCCTGGCTCGCCTTTGTTTGTTTCTGTGCTGTATGACATAATTTTGTGACAATTATTTCTTACGGTTGAACGGCGAGTATACAGAAATAGAGAAAACTTGAGGATGGATTCTTGACTGTTCGCACATCAACATTAGTAGATTTTGACCTAATTAATAGGATCTGAGAGGGCCCCTGTAAATCTAGTTTTATAACGCACAAAACAGCTGTATGATTTTAAATACCCCCTTCTTCCTGTCACCCATTTACAGTTTTTGTAGTTATCAGACTGTAATGTTACTGGGAAATGTACATACTGGATATTGATTTTTAAATATTTTTTTTAAATCGCTTTCCTAAAAAATAAATCTCAAGTTACTTGGTAGGTTGTTTTTTAGTTTTTTTTTGAGGCGCCCATATTTAATTTTTATTTTAATAAATTTTATTTTATGCTTATCGGACTTTGAGTTTGAACCACGTTAAATTTCACCAGAAACTTTATTTTTACCAGTGACAGACTAGGATAATGTGATCTGCACGTTCATCTAAATATAGCAGATATATGTCTGCAAAACAATAAACGTCAGTCATCTACTTTTAGAATTAAACTTTTAGACCCCAGCTTAACTCGCTCCTTCTAGGCATGCAATGCAAGTATTTATTGTATACATTATATACACTATATGTTTGTTTTTTTACTATTAAGATACTTTATTGTACGATTTAGAGACGATCTTGTACGATTGTAGGAGTACGGGGGTTTACTGGCCTGGGGTTCTCATTTCTTAAAATAAATGATTCTCAATGAGGTGATACACAGAGATGTAACATAAAAGACAGTTTGAAAAACCCCTGTAATATTTTTATTTGAAGAAAATTGTGATTGCTTTTATAGAGTGGAAAGAAGTAATAATCCAGTGTCCTATGGCATTGGGATATATAGGGTAGAGCCATTTTGCACCACAGAGCAGTTAAAAATCTCAGCTTTAAGGTAAGCTGGGATTGTCAACCAGTTACTACAGTAAGGAATTTACATTACCTAAATTTAGGTGATTAATATGTTGAAAAATATATTGTTTTTGAGTGGTTATTTAAGGACTACCATGCGTGCTTACTTATACATGTGATCACAAATAACAAAGGGACTATTCATTGACTTACTTTAGGACTGTTTTAATGTGATTCTTGGTGCAACAATAGGTTTGAGCAAATTTTGGTTTGCCGGTGTTAATATAACAAAACTGGTTTTTTAAATGTGTTTGCAAATCTGTTACATATAGCAGGCTTCTAGTGTGACTCTTGGACAGCTTCCATTTTGGGCTGCTTCCTAACAAGCTGGCTGTTTCCTATTCAGCGTATTTGGTATTGAGAGTATATTAAAAATAATTCTATATGTTTGAAAGAAAGTATGGTTCAATAATGAGTTCAATAGCACACAAAAGGTAATTCCAGATAACTACGCTAAATGATATATTTTTAAAAAATAACGCAACTGCCTTTCGTGCGCAATAATTTCTTTTCCGAAAATGAAATTGCCTCAGTTTAGGCTGTGGCTATTCGGACCCAGCTCCGTTAAATGAGAGTTTGGGTTTATTAAAAAAATATTTACAAATTATTGTCGGGTTTGTAAGACAAAATTTGGTATCAAATGAAAGATAATTGAATGGACTATTCTATACTACCAAAAATGACATCCAAATAGCATTTAGTCTAAATGGAACCGGAAATGCATCGCCACTAATTGGACCCGGATCCCATTAGACTAAATGCTATTCGGATGCCATTTGTGGTAGTTTATTTTAGTTAAACCGAAGAAGTAAGTTTACAAACATATAGTCCATTCAATTATCTTTCATTTGATACCAAATTTTGTCTTACAACCTACGATAATTTAAAAAAAAATTTTTTAATCCCAACCTCTCACTTCTCTGACCCGGGTCCGAATAGCCACTGCGCTCAATTTAAGTATGGTGTAAAAAATAGTCGGTTTCAAAAGTTGTTGGGACATCAAAATATTTAATATTGTTCATGGGCGTGAAATAAAAAGTGTGCAGTGACGTATCATAGGGGGATTAGGTGTAGCAAATATTGTGATTCTTAAATGTGCATTGACGCATTGCTGTCGCCAATGTTTGGCGGGCTATATCTAGTTTACTATGTATATTTCATGGATTAAGATGAACATTATAATAAAATAATTTTTGTTATTTGAAAACATGAATTTGTTCTGGTATTTTAAATATTTTCAGCCAATCTACTTTTTTATTTTAGGTACTTGCCACCTGAATGTTTTGTGGTTGGTAAAACGCCGCCCAAGATTTCTTCCAAAGTTGACGTTTGGTCAGTGGGCGTCATCTTTTACCAATGTTTATATGGTAAAAAGGTCAGTGCTACAAATACTTTTCTTTGTTATAAGACATGAGGGGTCAAACATATGCTATGTAACACTGAGTTTTGGATTGTGTTTTGTAGACTTAGATTATGTATTCTGGTGTGTTTATTCCTGGGGGAGGGAGGGGGCAGAACTGTTCCTATATACATATATGCAATAATTATTCTTAAAATTCTGGGTCTATAAATAGCCTATTTATTTCTCTAATATATAGCGTTCACCTAGATATGAGCATTACCAAGGGAATTTTAAAATGATAATTAAACAACCCCTAAAAACAAAGGTTTTCTTATAAATTCTTTATATGCATTTTTTATTATTTTTTAAAATGTTAATATTTCAATGTCCCACCTGCTTTTACACCACAGATTTCTTTCGCCAACTATTTCAGAATCACAGAAGAAAATATTATGCACAAAAACACACTTATATTTTTTAAAAGAATCTCATTTATCACAGTTATCTTGAATTTTATTTCATGAAATTAGTAGGATCATATTTCCTTCATTTTCCCCTTGTAAAACAGGAAAACTGGTTTTTTGGGGGTTGAGGCTGAAAATTTGATAGAATGTGTTGTCATATGCAGCGAGTCTGTGCCAAGTTTCAGCTTGATAGGTTGACAGGAAGTGGGTCAATCAGCCGTCCGAGATTTTGCCCTAGGCAAAGTTAATATAAAGAATTTAAATACAATGTTTAAACTGTCATTTTCCTGATGTGCTTAATAATTTTCTAACATTTTTTTTTCTTTGTATATTTCCAAAGCCTTTTGGCCACAATCTGTCTCAAGCGGCAATTTTAGAAGAAAACACTATATTAAAAGCCACAGAAGTGGAATTTGCTTCTAAACCCCCAGTTACTCAGGAGGCAAAGGTAAACCTATTTTATTGTAATAAATCTGAATATTTATAAAAAAAATAATTAATTTAAAGAAAAACATAATTTGGTTGCAAATAGAACAAAAAATCTTTTGATTTTACAATTTGTTGCAGCATTATTAAAAAAAACAACTTAAATATGCATTTGTATGAAAATTAATTTCCATTGTGGCAGTAAATTACACATACCAGTACTCAGTCATATTCTTATTGCACATTTGATTGCCGGTCAATTTGATTACCAATAATTTCAAAGCTTGTACTAGAATATAAATGCTGTCATATCCTACCATTGTTCAGTCATTCAAATGCCGTCATGTCCTACCATTGTTCAGTCATTCAAATTTTAAAATTTGAATTGCTCTATGACATAGGGAGGGCTTTAAGGGTGATTATTCTGGTTTTAATAACATTGGTTTTATTAAAAGGTCCTATGGTTTCTTAAAAAATATATGACCATCTCCTGGGGGCTGCTAGCTGAATACTAGAACAGTTTGAGCTTGTGTTTAAATAATAAAAGTTCAGTTACACATTTCTAATTAATTTATAAAGCCACTCTAATTTTCTTAAACTTTAATGAATTTTAAAAGTGTAAAGTTTATTAATTTCCTAATACAGCTATATAAATTCATTATTAATGATTTTATCTAAAACGTACTTTCTAGAATTTCATCAGACGTTGTTTGCAATATAAAAAAGAAATGAGACCAGATGTATTGCAACTAGCTGCTGATGATTACCTCAAGCCTGCACAGCTTAAATCTAAGTAAACATTTTAAAAAAATATTTTGGTTGATTAATCAATGGTTTTTTATCATATACGCTTCTTTAAACCACAGATTTCAATTATTCAATTTTGTTCAAAAAGTCGATCATGTAATAGTTCTAAGTGTAACCCAAATAGATTACACTGTATTTAAAAAAATCATCTTAACATTACATTAGACTATTCACTACTTGATGGTATGATTATCTACATAAAATGTACAGATATTAGTTTGTTATCCTGTATTTGAAAGATTTATATTGATAGATTGTTAATTCTATATGATGTCATTCTTTTGACAGAAATATGACAGAGGGAAGTGTGTACTCCAACCAGGGACCTCTCCCAGTCAACACAGTTGGAAGTGGTTCAAATGTTGCAGTGGTGACCCCTAATATGACTTCAGCTACTACCAATTCTCACAGCGCCTCTCAGAACCCTTCTTTCAGCTTTGCAGACAAGTTCTCCTAGTCATTATTATTTGATTTTTTTTTAAAGGTTATCTTTTTTTCAAATTGGACAACTTACAGCAGTTTGGTGCTGAAGGATACAATTTCTACAAAAACTTAAGTTTTCTGGAAAGCAAGATCGGAATAAAGTGATGCTGTCTGTGACAGTGTGTGACACTAAAACTAAAATGTTGGACCATACCATGTTCTTGTATTTGTTGACACTCTTGTGCAGGACTACAAACATTCATAAACATCAGGTTTCTATCTAAAAATTAAGTGATCAGACTAAGTCAATTTCTTTGCAGAAATTGTGGGCATTTATTGTATTTGAATGTGACAGGAAGTTGTGGAATTAGGTATTTCCCCCATCATTTTAATATTCTCCTTTTGAGATGGTCAGCTTACAGGAAGTTATTCAAGTATCTTCAAAAATGTGTGCACATCTGTTCACCAAAGATAGTAGAGCAGATATTGACTCCAAATAATATTTTGCTCACTAATGTTCGTGCTTACTGGGCAACAAGGACTGCTTTACTAATTCTATGGATAGAGAAATCAAATTACAAAGGATTTAACCATTGTTTACATTTAGTATTTGTTTTTACTTTTTTAAAGTTGTTGTGATCACTTTAACTAAAAGTGAAATTATTCTCAAGTTTAGCAAAATTGTAAAGGAAATGTACAGAAACATTTGCTGAATTGCTTATGAGTTGCCATATTGGTACTGCTTAAAGCTTGTAGTTTACATTAACTTTTAATATTTGCCGTTAAATAGGAAAATGTTTGTTTACAAAAATGATTATTGATACATTTATTTTAAATGACCAAATTTAAATATTTTCAAGAAGTCAATATAGACATTTGGCACATATTCAATTTTGGCTGCATTACAGCTATTTGTTGCAGTTTCAATATGTTTTAACTCATTTGATTTCAGTAGCATTTTCATTTTGATACCATTGCTAAAAAAAAAAATAATTTATTTAGTGTTTACTAAATTTCTTAAGTAATCACAACAACCAGGCACATTTTATTATTAGAAAAAAAAACATCCCTATCTTTGTAACCTTGCTCCAATACAGTTTTTAAATTAAATTTATAATAATATTGGATTTTTATTTTTAAGAGATAAATTTAAAAAACCTTCTTTTATTGACTTGAAGAAAAACAGCAAAAGTGTGTCTCTGAATCTTAGTTTCTTTCATTGTGTAATTGAATAAAAAGTTCAATTTTTTTTTTTAATGTTGTAAAAAAACTAGACTACTTCTGAAAATACTTGTTTGCCGTCCTCCCTGTTAGCAGTGATGATCAAATACATTCTGTTATTTTTAAAACTTTTTGTGCACAAAGCTAAAAACAACTCAGTCACTACTTACACAAAGACAAGGGAATACAACGGACACATGGCACATGTTGTTTTTTTTGTTGTTAGTTAGCATAAGAAAAATATACCTGTAGGGAGCATTTATTACAGTACACAATTTAATTTTTACAAGAAATACTTTTTAGTTGCTAAATGTTTTTCCAGCTCTGATCTGTCATTCTGGAATGTCAAAAGTTTTTATTTAATAGTTTTAAACATTGACTTTTATTTCCATAACTTTGAAATTACATTGGAGCTCTAAAGCAATATATAGTTCAATCAGTTTCTGCTGAAAAATAGATTCATGCTTATTTATTAGTGATTTTTTTATCTTCTTTATACATTTAAACTGAAAAGTAACATTTTACATTCCTTGACATATTACAATGTGAATATAATTAACAGTTATTGCAAGAGGCGGTCTGGAGAAGTACTGGGAGTGGTAGAACAATGTACCGCAGAACAGATTTCTGTTGATAAAAAAACCGATGTAATTTGCAATGTGTAATCTACTGTAGAAACTAAAGGGAGGTACTATTTTGTGAATATTATTTTAAGTGGAGGTTTAAATGACATTTTTAAAAGGTTATTTAACTATCCTAATATTTATGAGTATTTATTTGAGAATGTGTTAGTGTTAGCTTATTATTACTATCTATAATATATTCAAACCAAGCAAGGTCTTGTTTATTAGTCACATTCAATCAAAGTTTCCATTTAATGACATGTAAAGTCCACATTGACATTGTTTTCCTAGCAGTATTTTTTTTGTTTTGTTACGTATTGATTGTAACTTGAAGTATAACGGACTTGTTGGATGGTATGATCGGTTTCGATTTAATGCCAAATACTGAGTGATCATTTGTTTTCATCATTTGTGAAAGGAGCAATAGATAATGCTTTTGATGCTGGTGTGAATTATATAAGCCTATGATTCATCTGCTAAGTGTGTCTGTTAAGAGTAGATCTGAGAGCAAAAGATTTGTCAATTGCTTTATCTGAAGTACTGTGAAAAGTTTCAGCTATCAGATCAAATAAGCCAATAATTTGTACTGTGTGCTGTGTTGGTCTAGAAGTGTCATGTGGTTGTCTGCAGGTTCTGGCATGGGAGGTGTTGTTGTTTTTTTTAAAGCCTTGTTAAAAACCGTAAATTCATTAACATAAGTTTGACAAATATCATGTAAGAGTGCTAAAATAACTGGAAAGCATTGTTGCAATGGAATTTAGGGGGAATGGGAGCAATCAAGAAATATTGTAAATAATGCAATGCCATCTGGCATTGAGGCAATCAGCAGCTGTTGTAGTCAATAATGAAATGATTTAAAGCACACACTTTGATTGTACTCAGAATCTCTGCTGTTCTATATCTAGCTGCATCTCAAAATGTCATCCCTCTTTAGCACCAATTAAGCAATTTTCTTTTGCCCTCCACATTTCTTTGTCTATAATGTGTTCACTGCCAGCTTCTGTTCCTCACTTAATCCTACTGTTACCATCTTGCGTTTGTTTTAGCCAAGTCATTTTTAATTGCTACAGAAACATTAAGGAACTGCTTGATAAGTTTCTGCTTCTGTGTTGGTGTTTTAATTCCTTCTCATTTATTTGACAGTAAATGCTTCCTTAAACTCCCAGTGTCCATCAGATCTTTTTTTGTAGCAGCAGTTTGCAAGTGCTAATAATAACACTTGACCGTCTGTGTACTGGTACTTGTTAATTGTTGCATTTATTGGTCATGACTGCATATTCCAATAACATTTACCTCATTAACAAAGCTACTAAACATAGGTGTTCAATATTAGTAGCTTATAGAAAGCTGGTTATAAATTTAAGTCCCATTAGGAAGTAAATCTAAAGCCTACAAATCATTTTGGGCTAATGCTTCAAATAAGTTTTGTTTATTTAGGGTAACTTTACTTTAATATTTATTTCGCAAAACAATTAAAACCAATCCTTAAAATAGCTTTAAAGAATAAGGCTGATAATTCTGGAAGATAGAAAGTGAAGGTAGTTTTACTGAAGACCAAGCTAGGTGTTATAGTGAAAAGCCTTTAATACGTATTTATGTATTTTTTGTATTCTGATGAAGGCTTGAGCTGAACTGAACTATTCCTAGTATTTTGGATCTTTAGTCAAACTTGACGATACGTTTTGTACAGTTCAACCTAAATGGCTAAAGATGTTTTGGGGATACATTTAAGAGTTAAAATTACTTTGAATACAAAATAAGTATTTTATCATAATTTAGATGTAGATGGTTATTTGAAAACTGATGTTCAATAACTTTTCATCTAGTGTGATTTTAAGTTTTAATGTTAACTTGATTTAAAGTTTCTAAAGTTCCTAAATAAACTAAAATGGTTTAGTGTTGATGCTGTAGTTTTACTGCCAGAGTTTGAAATTGAACTTACCGATAAGGTATCTCCTGTGTTTAATGTTACCTTAAAAGGTTGTGGGTGTGTTTTAACCAGAATCTTTCACTTTGAACAAAAATCCCTTAAAATGTATCTGACTGAGATCTTTACTATTCCACTAATATAAGAATTTAAAAAAAAAATTTTTAAACTGAATATGTTAAGATCCTTTTTGCCCCTATAAAATATAAGAATGTATCATTACAGCCAATGCTCGACTTAAGAACATGATCGGTTCCAACAGACGGTCATAACACGATTTGGTCGTAAGTTGAGTACGCTGTGTACAGTCATGTGAAGTGATGTATAAGTTGAGTACGCTATGTGTACAGTCATGTGAAGTGATGTATAAGTTGAGTACGCTATGTGTACAGTCATGTGAAGTGATGTATAAGTTGAGTACGCTATGTGTACAGTCATGTGAAGTGATGTATAAGTTGAGTACACTCTGTGTACAGTCATGTGAAGTGATGTATAAGTTGAGTACGCTATGTGTACAGTCATGTGAAGTGATGTTATAAAAATATTTAAGTCAAATTATATCCTAAATTTCATAATTTTGTATAGGAGTTGAAATGTTCAAACTCTGAAGAGCTCTCCAAACAACAAGCTTTGGTCAATGGACCTAGGGTTATTGAGTGTGACCGTGGTATTTGTTAGAAATTGATGACGCTGGCTAGCAGCATAGCATCGTCATAGCATCATGCCTCCCTTTCCTTAGGTAATGACCACCTATGATTGAAGACAATGCCGTTCGGCTGATAATTGAGCCAGAAATAAATCTGAAATCTAATATGGCTAGTGATTGTGGTCGTACAGTTGAATGGTCATAAGTTGCATAGGTCGTAAGTCGAGCACTGGCTGTATTACATTTTATGCTGACAATTACAATATAAGACGTAAGGGCTTTTAAATATTATTTTAAATCTCTAAAGGCTATATCAATGAAATGGGCTCAGAGAATACCTTTCTCCAAGACATGGCAAGTGCCCGCTTTTATCTGAAAGGCAATTTAATAGTTAGAAACCTGGCACTTATTTGGCCTATAGTAAAGCTGTACATAATTCTCCACAGCTTACTGATTATGAATATGCAATTTTTTTAATGTGTCTTGTTACAAATTGATTATTTCTGCTAGTTTCTATTTATCATCTATATGGATCAAGCTCAGATCATCTATGTGGATCAAGTTCTGGGATGTTCTTAAAGCAATTGTTCTTATCAGTTAAAGACGGAGCTAGCTGGGAAGAGCATTTGGCATTTTTTAATGAGACTATATCTACATTCTAGATGTCATTAAAAAAAACAATTTATTGTAACGTCATGCTTGTGTTTAATAACTTATGAACATGATGCAATCAAGACTTAGCACCTGGATCATTTTTATATTGTGACACAATTTGTCATGTAACCAATGACTGCTTTATTTAACCAGTCAGGAACTTTAGAAAAAAAATCAAGCCTTTGTCCATTACCCCATTGATTGCTAATTAATTTATAAAGTAATGAATTTTCATGTAAAAATCTTGTTCAAAAGTTGTACTGGTGTCAGTTTTTCTTTGGTGGTTAAATTGTAAACACCAAAGCTTGTAATTTTATTCATTTAGGAAATATAGTTGTCATGTCACTTAGAAAATTTAAAATATTATAGAACATTTAATGAAGCA